CAGGGGTGGCGAACCTTTATACACCAACGTGCCATTTTTTCTGAAAAATTGTTTAATGAGGTCATAGACGTGCCGTCAAATAATTTTGACTTCGTAATTATTGGGGAAATAATAATACTAAATACTATCAACTCAAAACTCCTTATTTACATTGAAAAAAAAAACATTTTGCAATGTCTCAGTTATACGCGTAATTCAACTTAAAGTAGCATCAGTGTGACTTCTGTTGTTGCAGATTAGATGACCAATAACTTATATTAGGTTGTAAGATGTTAGTTTAAGCAGAACTGTTGGTTTTTTTTGCTAGTTATTTATTGTTAGCTTGTTTTTTATGGTTATTAATTGTTTTTTTTAGCATTAATTGTACATTTTTATTAATAATTGTTTATTATTTTGTGTGTTTTAATTTAATTATTACACATGCTTCATAGTGTAACAACATTTGTGTAATAACAATTCATACTGTAATAACAAATGTGATCGGTAGCGTGCCCAAAGTATTGCGTCAGGTGCCATAAATGGCACGCGTGCCATTGGTTCGCCATCCCTGAACTAGAGTAATAAAATTGACGGAAATTTTTAAGGATGTAATAAACTGAAAAGAAAAAAAAAATCTTTTAAAAACCATTATTTCTGTCTGGGATCACATCAAAATTTCCATTTTTTAATTTGCGGAAAAAAAGACCTTTCTCTCCACTAAATAAATGAAATTTCTTATATTTAATATTTTATGAATTTTTCAATTTAACGCTTACTACACAATCATAGGACACGTTATAAGATAGTTCTGCATTTTAAATTATCTATTATTATTGTTTTTTTTTTTCAATATACTCACCCTTTCTACGAGTTGTGTGGCTATTAAATCTGCGAAATTTTCTGAGAAAGTTCTGTATCCATTTACCTGTAAGTATTGAATAAAAAACAATTAAAAAGGAGAAATATGAAGAATTGGTTAAAAATGAAAACATTAAATAATAATTAAATATTTGTTATTATTATAAAATTAATTTTAATTAATTTGTTGGTGATTGACAATGAAATGTGCAGGGTGTTCCATAAGGCTCTCCCTTAATGAATATTTTTGGAATCCTCGACGAAAAAAATTAAAGAAAAAAAAATACACATTATTGCTTGCCCATGAGCGAAAAAAAAAAGAAACGAGGGAAAAAAAAATAGGAACACTTTCTTAAAATCCTAGGTTGCATCACTAGTGATAATGGCGAAAAAAAATCATTAAATCTGGTTTGATTATTTTAATTAATTAACTTTAATAATCAACTGCCAATTCCTTCCTCCGGCAATCAACGAGTTTAAAAAGTTTTCAGTCCCGCTTTCCTCATAAATGGTTCGTTAGATTTTGATAACATTTGTGGTTTTATGTTTAGACTTTTTGACTTTATTTCTGTTTACACGAAACTTTTTGCTGAAATGTTGTATTTTAAATACGTAGAGTCCCGATTATCCGAGTTAATGTGGACCACGACTAACTCGGATAACTGAAAAACTNTTAAAAAGCTTACTTTCATTTCGATTTTTTCTAATTTAAAATCCGAGTACTGTTCTTGTAGACATTTTTTCCTTGAGATAAAAGTTTGAATTGTTTCATTATCCAAGTCTTCTCCGTCTGAAATGTAAACATAACGAATTACCACGGAATATTCTCTTAGCTCATTGCTAAATTTATGAATACAGTTATATATTTAAAATACCAGTTCCAACGTAAAAATTAAACAGTTTTTGTTTGATGATTTTAACCGTCAGAACACTCAACTTTTACTTGAACTACTAGTGTATAGTTAGTAACATCACAAAGATAATTTAGCAAAAATATTTAACTGTGATGCTTGTTACCATATTCGAGATTCTTAAGTTAAATAACACATAAATTTTGACCATTTTTTAAAATTTTTTCGAAAGAAATTTCTTGTTTTTTTCTAAACAAACGAAAGAACAATGATTCATAAATTCGCTAATTAGAAACAACTCTACTTTTGAATTTATGAATGGTAATTAGATCATTTATAGGGCTGTTTGCATTGATTACGCATACACAGCATTGTTTCAATACAGGCCATTATGATTTGTAACTCTCAAGTTACTATTAAATTTACTTTAATCTCAACTTTTAAATATTTCTTAATATTTAACCTTCAGTGTATCGATCGATTTATTTATTAATTATTCTACTGAAGAAATGAACCACACAATTTATTTTAAGTTTAGTGTATGTATTTTTAATATTTTTTAAAACTTTTTTTTCGTTATTTCTTTCTTTTTAATTTTTTTTTTTTGGAAAAAATTAAACACGTTGTTAAAAATGTGCAAATATTTGTATAATTTTGTGAATATTCACAGACGCATTTTTGTAAGAAAAATTGCTAGAAAAATCGAATAATTCTAACTTAATTTTGAGAGAAAATAAAGTATTTCCTAATGGAAGGCTTGGATTCGTCGTCAGTTTTAGCGATTAGGCAATGCTTAACGACCATTTTAGCAACAAAATGATAGTTCTGGAAACTTTGAGTTTCAAAGTGATTGGACCGTTATTTACGAAATTATGAGTGACCCAGGGACTAATGTATTTTATATTTTATAATCGTCGTTGAACAGCCGACCCAATTTTGGGCTTGCGACAATTGATGTTCAACTCCGTAGCCTTGCAATTTTGAACCCAATCCAGTGGATGAGGGAACTCCTGTATCCAGTTTTGATAGGAATTTGCCTTCGTGGAGGACTTTTTTGATGGAACTAAACCGCATTTGCGTTACAGGAAGTGGAAAACCACAAAAACATCCCACCGTTAGCCTGATGGCCCCCCATGATCTGCCTACCACTACCTAACCCATGATCTGTCTACCACTGAAGATGTTTTACGTCAGCACTGTGGTTGGTACGAGTTGAATGCGGAATTCATGTCAATCAGCCGTTGCTGGGATTCGAACCCGGTTCACCTCATTGGCAAACGTTTTACCCCCTGAGCCACCACAGCTCTTAATAATTAATTGTGTTAATTACTATTTGAAGCTTAATATACTAATATTAGTACTAAGATACCTACTGTTGGCTCAGGGAAAATAGATTTTTATGGCCCTCTGAAAGTACAGGTGAAAAGTTTTTGGTTATACTGATTTTTGACAATCAGGAGTTGACCTCAGTCAATAGCAGTAAACTGAATGATACTGAATATAGTTTATCTTTGTATAGATGGGTTGAACTTCTAAAAACATGTTTTTCTAAGAAATATGCAGCAATGAGTTGTAAAGAGTGTGTTATACTACTTACGAAAAAATGCTTCGATTTCATGACCAATTTCGTGACCTATTGTGTGACCTAGCGTGACAAGATTCAACAAACTATTGAAAAATAGAGGGGAGAAATATTAGTTCATTCAAGACGTAAATATCTATAAAAATTTGAAGGAATGATGTCTGTAAAATTTTTCAAATTCGTAACTTTGATGATTATGTGCTTTGAGGAAGATTTCCGTACTATGATCTGCGATAAAATAATCGCCAAGTAGAAAACTCATTTTAGCTATCTAAAGAAAAAAAAAATGACAGAAAAGGACTAACTAGAAGGGTATAACTCGTAGCCACCCCTGGGTGAACAGCCATATTTTTGCTTTAAGAAAATATTTGCAAGTTAATTTAAAACCCATTTGGTGCCTTGGCGGTTGTAGTTGGCGCAACAGATCACGATACGGAAATATCCCTGAGCTTTCAATTAGCTTAAAAAATTTAACAAATGTTCATTCTTCATTTAAATAACAACTAACATTAGCAACAATTTGCTTTCTACAAATACATACAATCAAATATATGAAGATTAAAAGATCATTCGAGTGCAACTTTTCCGAATTTTTATAATGATTTGCAAGTAAAAAAACATTCATATTAAAAAAAAAATTGCAGCAACGAAGGACTAGAGCATTTCGTAGCTAATTATGGTAATAAAATGCTCGAGGGAGACGTTGAAATTAGTTCTAACTTAAAATTTTAAGTTCAAGATATCCATAAGCACATTTTCCCTGAAAGATTGACGAATTTAAACGAACCAACAGCAACAAGAAGAGAAATACTATTCTCGAGAGAACTACTATTATATAAGTTGTTGTTGTTTCTAATGCCAATTGCCACACTAGCAAGCTTGCTTGGGGAAACCGAGCAAATTTAAGGCAGAGTGTGCGTTTCTTGTTCTTCAGTGACTCCATCTATGGCCAAGAATTCGACTTCAGCCACACACACGTCACACCCGTTTATAGTGCGGACCCATTCATACATCCATTCATTCATCCACCGATCGTAATTTTCGACCTGAATCAGAGAATGATCGATCTCCAATCCAGTACCCCCAGAGTTATTGATTTGTTATGGGAACATGGGGGACTTAACGTGCATCAGTCACCATTTACTACACGAGGAGTCTTCGGCCGGCGGACTTCGAACCCACGAACTCTCGGACATGGGCCCAGCACCCTATCGACCAGGCTATACCGGCCTACATTATATAAGTATTGGTTTTATTAACCATTTTACAACTGTTTTTTTTATTTAAAAAACTTAGTTTCCTTAGTTTATATTACTTAGTTTTAGAACTGCTTGCTATTTCGTCGTTTAAAAAATAATTTAGAAATGTTTTTTTATTTATTTTTTTACTTAAAATGATATCTAAGCTTTTTCCCCATAAATTTAGTCATTTCATGTCAGTCATGACTGACTTGATATCAATATTATTTTTAATTATCCTGTTTTCGTTTTGATTTTTCAAGATTAAGTAGTTTTTTTCTCATTATTATGTTTAAAGGTTTTTTAAAAAAACTTTTATCCTGTTTTAAAACCCATTTTTTAATATTTAAAAAAAATATATTTTAAGCTAAACTAAGCTATATGCATCAAATTGTGATACATATTACATTTAGCATATTTTTAAGATGAGGTCATTAAGCACTATTATTCATAAATGTAAAATTTAGAATAAATTAAAAATAATTTTTAAAGATTTCTTTTTTGTTCGAAAATGTGTCATTTTAGCTCAGAGAAGCATTATTCATTTTTCATCATTTAACCCCGAACCGTAAAACTAACTAACCGAAAGACTATTTGTCTTCGAAAAAAAGTCAAATAAAATTTGAAATATAGTACCTTGATCTGCCTAGCTGATAAACTGGAGGCAATAAAAGACCAAACTTAAGACCTACAAGAGTTATTTTGATTAGCTTATTACTTACATCTCTAAACATTACTTACCGGATGTCCCTAAATAATTATCAATTTAAAAAAGCAATATGAACAACAAAAACAAATAAAAATGTACATTTTGCTGAATTCTATTTCGCATACCAGATCATTTATTCTCGCGAAATTTGAAAATTAGTAACACATTTTGTCAACAGATGACACTGCTGCATGTCAGATCAACAGAGAAATTTATTTAGGCATCTGTAAATTATGTTCTCAGACTGCATCGCGTAGTTGTAAATGATGGTTATTTGAAAATTTTAATTTTATAGTTTTTCGTTAGAATTTTATATTTTGAAGTTAGAAGTTGCGTTTGTTGACACTCTTCGTAACTTATCACGAAATTTGTTTAGAATAAATCTTTGTTTTCCGAAACACAAAACTGTCATTTCTTTCTTCTTCTCCTTTTTTTCTTTTATTGATTTTTCAAATTATCGGTCAATTAAGGGACACCCGATGTGAAGAGTAATCAGCTCTTACTCCTCTAAACTTTGTCAATTATTTTAACAATCTAAAATGTAGTGAACTCACCAATAGAGCCAGATACATGCTTGGCATTAGTATCGAAGACACTAAAAATTAAATAGAGATTAGTTAGTTTCATGAAATATTTATAAAATCTTATACGATATGTATGAAGATACCTTTGCGTTAAAACAAAGTACTTATATGTCATTTGTATAATTGGCAAGCGTTTAAGTAAGTTTATATATTTAAAAATTCATTGACTGATTTCATAGCTTTTCCTATATGAATAATAATAATAAAAAAATAGGCAAAGTTTTTTTTATTTATTTATTTATTATTTTTATTTTATCAAAGGCTTGTATGAATGGAAGTTAAAATTCAACCACTTTTCAAACAGGGAGTCATTTTCTTGCACTGAGCAACCCTTTTTCTTTTTATTATTCAGTGGTAAAATATTGAAAAATAAAGATACTTTCAGGGATTTGATGGTGATCATGTGAAAGAAAGATGAAGACGATGTAAAAAGCCTGCCTCAGTATTAATTTGTATCACACGAGGAAGGGTGTGCTGTTTCTTATTACGGCCCCTCAAAAATAAAAGTATAAGAGAAAGTAACTTAGGATCAAAATTGTGATGGTATGTCTTCGGATCATCGTCAGAGAATTTCTCTGACCGTCGCCAATAGCCCATTGTTCTGCTCTAGTGCGATGTAAATAAACTACAACAACAACCTTCCTGAAAAAGCTGACTTATGGGAAAAATAATTCATTTTTTAAAAATTGTCGAAGCACATTACATTTTGAGAACTGGTATGATGGTACTTATTTGAAGGTAGGATGCAGCATAGAATTTTTCCAATAGGTCTGCAAATTTAAGAATGTTTTTGGCTTAAATACAACTTGTGGCGTCGCTATTTTTTCGACTTCAATTTCGAATTTTAAAAAAGTCTGTCTCCCTGTAAGTAATTATTTGGTTATATTTTATTTGTATATGGATAAAACTTAATTAATATCACCTTTTATACAAGTAACTATTTTTTATTTATAAATATATATTCATGTATGATTTTTTTTCCCTTTTTTTTTAGTTTTATTTACATTACAATAAAAGAAGTTTAAAATTTGTTAAAAATTTAATCATACAAGTATTTTAAACGCTTGCACCTAAAGGAAAATGCGCTTATAGTTTGATTGATTGGTTACAAGATATATAAGAATAACTAATACATACTCGATAGGGTATTCTATATCTGCAATTGCGTTTGATTCTAAAAAGTGGATGTAAAAAACATTTCTTTGGTGTTTCATTACATTTAGGAAAAAACTGTCTCTTACTGGCTCGAACTGAAAAAAAACATTCACCCTGTTAAATATTTGGAAAGATGAGAAGCTTGAAACTAAGCAGAATTTGATAAGTAAGACGAAAGAAAATGATAAAAATATTTATTATTATGAAAATTATATATTTAATCTGACCCTTTTCGATGCCACTCCCCAACCCCCATAGATTACTTAGCAATCTTATATGGTTTAGGTTGCATTCAAAACCTTACTTTGCAACCCTTGGAGCCAAAAGTCTGATAGACCGTAATTTTTATAGTTCTAATTAAAGTAAAATCACTGAATCACAATCTAGTTAAATAAATATTACTGTAAAAATTAAGGTATAATATTTTACGGTAAAAATGTATATAATGGTAAAATTGGATATTACGGTATAATGGATGTTACGGATAATGCACCGAAAGTGCCTTTACTTCATACTGTAAATAAATTCGAAATTTTTTAAAGTGCACGCGAGAAAAGAGTTTTTATTCTGAAATTTGTTGACATATACGTTTACACTTTCATACTTATGACAGCTCACTTGGTTGATATTTCAATTCTTTACTGCCAACGCGAAAAAAAAAGAGAATTTTCGATGTCGAAGTGCAAGAGAAATAAAAAATAGATTGCAGTCTTAATCAAAACTATTTAATGGATTTATCATTGAAACTCCGAAAAATGCTACTTTTATAAGAGCAACATTTTAGAGCTCCTCCTTACAGGAAATCTTCAAATAACTATCTCAGGTAAAGGGGTGGAAAAATCCGTTAAAAATTGCACTGGTAAGGGTGGGATTTATAATGATACATTTCATTCTTTTCAACCAATTTTTTATTTTAAGAAGCTTTTGTTAAGCTTTTGTTGTAGGAATGGGGATATTAAGTATTTATAGTTTGATTTTACTAGGGATAACGTGTATCAATTAGTCATGGATAGTCAAGTCGATGTCTTAAAAGGGCGCCATATCACGGGAGAAACTTTTCGCCGCAAATTCGCTTTCACCTCTATAACCAATTTAAATTTTTAAGTATAGAAAAAGTGAATTCAGACAAACCTAGAATAAGCCATGAAGTTTCAAGTACTGCAAAGAAATTTTTAAATATCAAAATAAAAATAAATTATTTGTAGATAATTTGTGGAGAAGTTTTTTTTAAATAATTGAAACTTCATAGCTTACTCCAGGCGTGCCTGTGGTAACTTTAAATACCCAGTCTTAAATTTTAAATTAGTCATTGTGGTGAAAGAGAATTTATGACGAAACGTTTCTCTCTTGCTATGGCGTCCTCTTAACGTACAAACAGGTAACTGTGAGCAAAATTACTCAAAAAAAAAAAAAGAGTTGTTATAAAAAGATGTTAAATAAAGTATTTATGTTTTATTTCTCTCTCATAATTAAAAATAAAATATCTTGAAAAAAATTTCTTGATACATTTTTGTTTTCTGTTTAATTGTTCTCTTTTAAACAGCCATAGTTTGGATCCGTCGTTATAGGAGTAATTTGGTAACACCAGTTGTAATCATGATGAAGCGTTCGTTGTAGAGGGAGTTGGTTAACCGAAATGTCGTATGATAGGGTGTCTGATTATCGGGAATCTGCTAGTTTTTAACGAGTGGGAATAAATGAGAGATGGAAGTTAAAATTCCTTTCTTTAGATTAAAGGTATAATTTTAATTTTCCACTATTATTTTGCTTTATTTGCTTATGCTTTTAATTTTCCCACGACTTTTCGCATCAAATTTCTTAATATTAACTTTTTAATGATTAATAACTTTTATTACTTCTTTTATATATATTTTTTTACTTTTTGATGTTGCTGTCACTCTTTTCTCCTGTTGTTAAATGCATATCGTTACCGCTTTGTGTGGTGTTTTGCAAATTGCAAGAGTTGGTAAAATTATGCTTTGATTTGCATAATACTATTACCAATCTTATATGATTCCTTTTTATCTCGTATGTAAAATTTACTTTTGAATGGCATTATGAACAGCTCGAAGTATTTTTCAATCAGACATTTTTCGAAAAAATAAATACTCACTTTTTTCATGATGAAGTCGAATCTTGTATCAGTAAGTTCTGACATGTACTGCTCTATCAGATTCTTTATTTTCCTCAACTGTGAAGTTATCAGAATTTTGAAGTAAAAATCAGTTTCAATAACATTTAAAAATAGTTTATTTTACTCAATGATGCTCTACATTGTGCTCAAAATTTTTGAATCTCCTCTCCTATTTAAATAATGTTTTGAAGTGATTAGTCATTTTGTATTAAGATAAATATCTTTTAAGGATATATTTAAGATATATATTCTGAAGGATCCGTTTGTGAAATTGATTTGATGGAATCTTTCAATATCAGAGTTTAATGAGACTTCAAGAGCGCATATGAACTTAAACTAATAAAGTGATTTAAATGAATATGTTTATGCTCTGAGGAATCCGTTTGTAAAATTGATTTCATGGATGCGTGCAATGTATTCAACATCTGAGTTAAATCAGACTCAAAGAGCGAACATGTATTTATATTGCGAACTCGATTTTAAGAGATTTGTTTAGATTTTGAAGGATCCATTTGTAAAATTGATTTGATGGAAGAGAGCTTTTATATATTTTCAACGCCCGAGTTTGATATGAATTTAAGAACGCACATCAGTTTAAATCGTTAAATTTTTAATGGTTCTACTTGTAAACTGAATAAAAATAGAATCTGTTTTACTGGTTTTCAAAGTAGTTTTTAAGAGATTTTGAAACTAAGAAAAAAATAATATTATTGAATTAATTAAAATTTGCTGTATAATTTAAGTCATATTAATTAGGATGATTCAACATGATTTTTCACGATGTCATGTAATATTTTATTACGATCAATCACATTAATGACAAATCGTGGATATTATATATCAATGTTTTGTCAGATAATATTGTTATGCAATCACATGGTTAAAAAATGTAAAACTTAATTCAAGTTCTTAAAAAATTAAACTTGAAATTTGAATACAATTTGATACACAAAATCGCTTGTGTTTTTTTAAAGGCAAATCGCTGCTTGAAAACTCCTAAAACAATTCATACAACTATAATAAACAAGATAAAAAATTATATAATAACAATTTGTATTAAAACTGATAAATAAATTACAAATTAATTTTTATATTTCATAAAACTTCGTATTTATATAAATCAGATTTTGTGCTGTATCCTGCAGAAAAGAGAGATTATTATGTATCATAAAATTTTAAAATTTATCGATGAATAGAGTTATTTTAATTTTAGAAGATTTAAGAAAATATTGCATATTAATCATCGCGATTTATTATTTTTATTTCATAAAATTTCCCAATTATACAAATCAGAATTTGTACTTTGTTATCATACGGATGAGAAGAATTAGTTTAATAAATGAATTACTTATTAATTGCTATGATTTATTATTATATTTCATAAAATTTCGCAATTATGTAAATCAATATTTGTAATTTATTATTATGCGAAAGAGAAGAGTTATTTAAGTAAATGAATTATATATTAATTATTATGATTTAATATTATATTTCATAAAATTTCTCATTAAATCTTAATTTGTACTTTGTTATCATACAGAAGAGAAGAGTTAATTTAATAAATGAATTATTATGATTTAGTCTGATTTATTATTAAATTTCATATAATTTCCCAATTATATAAATCATAATTTTTACTTTGTTATCATACATAAGAGAATAATTTGTTTAATAAATGAATTACTTATTAATTATGATTTATTATTTTATTTCATAAAATTTCTCAATGACGTAAATCAGAATTCGTATTTTGTTATCATATAGAAGAGAAGAATTAGATTAATAAATAAATTAGATTAATAAATAAATTACATCTTAATTAATATGATTTATTATTATATTTCATAAATTGTCACAACCATATAAATAAGAAATTATACTTTGTTATCATACAGAAGAGTTTAACTGTATCCGCGTTCTTTCTGGCATCCAGTTTTGTTTCATTGCTGATTTAGCTGATGTTAAAATAAGAGTTCTGAAGATATAACGTATCTAGAAAAAAAATAGAATTTATCTAGAATCTATAAAAAAATATTTATTCGCGTGTAACTTTATGTTGTCTCATAAGTTATGTTTACAACAAAATTAAAGTGAAGTTATCTGTACTTAGTTATAAAAGATAGCTCTCATTCGGATTAAATACAAACGATTCTAAGAAACAACATTATTCCTACTTTCCAGCTGGATGCTTAAAATTGTTAAAATAAGAGAAGTACACAGAGTAAAATTTGTACAATATTCTGTGTGTTGTTGTCGTCAAGGCAACGTGGGTTCACCTATTCTTGTTTTTCAGTGGCGCCATCTATGACCAAGAATTTGACTTTTGCCACACACAAACGTTACATTCCGTTTATAGGACGGACCCATTCATCTTCAGATCGTAATTTTGACCTGAACCAGAGAAAAATCAACAATCTGTGTGTTGAAACAATTATGAGCTTTTGGTAACTTTTTAAATAGCTGAAAATTTTGAAATAGTCTTCTTTTTCTTGTTAGTTAATAGCCATATTTTCAGGTTAGTTAACGTATACTTCAAATTATCAGTAGCCCTAGATTTTTTTTAAATTTTTTTTATTTTGCTTTATCTATAACAAGTGAAATTACGTATTATCAAAATAAAGTTGAAAGTATTTTAAAAATTCCAGGATGCAAACATAATGTCTATATCGAGACAGTAAGAATAGCATACTTTATGAATTGCATACACCAAATCTGAATCTCTAAGAAATCTGGTTTCTGGTAGAAAAAACAGTTTACACTTTTGAAATCAGCACTTTATGTATAATTAAAATAAATAAAGGAAAATAAGATTCGCATCTGTCTGAGTAATTATTTTGGAATTTGGAATCGTATAATAAAAGTTATAACACAAACAGTATTGTTAAAATCGTTAAAATCTGCACCATAAAAAACTCCGTTGAATGTTGAATTATAATATCGGTTGAACCATGCTTCTGTTTAAAATGAATCTCAGTATCAAATTTAAGGAGAACAATTTCGCTTGCTAGTATGGCAGAGCAGCCAACTTTCTATGCTTTTTCATTGTCTACCACTCAACACAATAAAATATGCGGCATTATATGTCCCAGAAAATAATGTTAGCCAACCTTCCCCCCCCCAAAAAAAAAAACAAAAAAAATTAAAGAAATATTTTATTTTAGATCTTTATTCCGTATTTTAACATTACTGATAAACAGTATTGTGCTATTAATTACGACATTTCTCTGAGAACACATTTATATGAATGTTAAATAAATCTGCTATTATATTTTGACATAGAAAGAAAGAATAAAATGGCGGTTGGCAGGAAGCAGAGTATGTAAAGTTGTCCAATGGTTCACAGGTGACGTACCACCTGACACTTTGTTTTATATGAGCATGTATTGGATTTTAGTTCAAATGACGTTCTACTAAGTCTGCTAAGTACATTGCTCACCCTGTAAGTTGTTCGGATCTGTCTCGGATAATTAGAATAAAAATATAATAATAGCGAAATAAAAATATCTTGCGATTATCCTACACAGATCTGTCTAGGATAATTGCAAGATATTTTTATTTCGCTCAAAAGGTGATTTTATACCTTAATAAGGTGCCATATGATAAATCAAATGTTTACATGCAGTATCTTAATATTCGGATTCCGTTTATAAAACTTATCAAAAGCACTTTTTTTAGAAGTTTTATTTTTGATAACATACAATCCAAATAAATTTCGCCGCTTAACTTTAAATATATAATATTTGTTTAAAATTATATTCCTTATGGAAGTATGTAGATTTTTTGTCACAATTTTTTCGTATAAGCAATTTCCCAGCACTTTTTTTTCGGTGTGAGGGGGGGGGGAGATATGAAATATTTTTGATCCGGGCTTAGTCAGACATACGTCTTGCATAAAGAAAAAAAAAATACAGTTTTGAAAACTTGGAAGAAGAAAGTAAACAAAAAAAAGAAGAAGGAAAGAAACGGGATCAGATGATAGACGCATGTGATACGACATGAATTTTTAAACTGATGCCGGGATAGCCTGCTTGGTAGCACATGTCCAGAGTTTAATCCCAGCCGGGCGAAGACTCCCCGTGTAGTAAATGGTGACTGGTGCACGTTAAATCTGTCTGGTCGCAAAGTCCCCCATGCACCCATAACAAACCATACCTCTGGGGGTACTGGATTGGAGATTGATCATTATTTGGTTTAGGTCAAAATTACGAGGATCAGGTCAAGTCGCTTGGTTTCCTCCAGCAGACTAGCTGCTATTGACAAGTGGCATTAGAAACAACACAATAAAATTTTTAAACTGATCTAGACACGTGCTCCATTTTTTTCCAAGCATGGTTAAGGTGTGAAATATGGAGGTATATATAGGAGGCGTAATAAGTGCATATTACTTAAACATTTGTCTTGATTGTTCTACAAATGCATAAAATCGCATTTCTATAAAGTTTTTAAATATATAATATGCAGATAAATTTTAATAGCAAACTTAATAGGTAATTGAAAGGAAATTATTTGTGTACTTACGCCCCTCATTTGCTTTGGTGAAATCCTTTTTAAAGCATATACCTGTCCCAAAGGAAAGAATAAATTGCTCATTAACCAACCAGCACATTGCTTCCATCGAAGTTGTTCTGTTTCATACCCAAATAAAGTAGGCCGAGTACTCCCACTTCTTAAGGATATAAGTCGAAAATAAAGATTCAAGTCATCAAGATGGTTTAGGAAAAATCTTAAAGCCAAATAGTTTGCTAAAGACCTGAAAATAAAGACACATTTCGAAATGGAATGATTTTAAGAAAATACCTAAGGACTCCAGCTAGCGGATACATTTGAAAATCAAGAAAAAAAGATATCTGGAAACTAGATTTTAAATTTCTATTGCAATTTTAATGATTTTATAAACCGAGTTTCAAACGATTTGAAAAAAACCACTGAAAGGAAAACGAGAGTTGACAGAAATGAGTAGTTAAAATTCTAAGGAAACCAGTCATTCATGCTAACCAATTTTCAAAACTAGATACAAAGTTCGTCCATAGATGGCGTTGCCTGTCTGAAGACAAAATTAACACTGACAAATATTTTTAGTTAGCCTGACAATGCAGCAGTCTGACATTGTCATTTGAGGCTGTCGCAGTAGAAAACATTGTCGTATAGAATTTTCATTCAGTAGCGCTATATATTGATAAAATTTGAAATTAATTTTGAAACTTGTTGTTAATAAATTCTTCGGTTTACTAAAAAGAACGCAGTAGGCCGTTCATTTCTATCTTTTTCAGTATTTTTAGTATTATTTTTTCAAATCATTGGTCATTTTTCGGTCATCAGATAAAAACAAAGAAGTGGAAAATATTGAATCAGTTATAACGATAAATTGAATTAAAAATTCATTTTATTAGATTAAAAAAAAAAACTTCCATTTCAGATCTAGACATTCAGATGATACAAATGGGGTTTTAATCGATTTTTTTATTTTCTATAACGGTTATATTAATTTGTTTTAAATGCTGAAATAAACAATTGTATGTTAGGTAAATGGCACATTTACACTTTTTGTTGAAATACTCAATGACAATTTTGTATAAATGAGGTTTAATTTCATTAAATCATAAAATTTTATTCTTTAAGGCATAGGTGATTGTGATTTGCTAGCATAAATATTTATTGGAAAAATAAAACCTGCGGCTTTTGAATATTATGATCTGGATGACTAATTCAGATATTATAAAAAAAACATAAATTACACGACCATGGCATTGCTCAAAATTTTGCGCAACAAGTAAAACACTTTGTTCTTAGGCGTAGTACACCATTTTTATCACTTAGAACATTAAGCTCTATCGTTGTCGCATTTATTTACTCCAAGACATTTTATTACGCAAATGGCAATAAATAAGTCTTGTGTGAACTTTGTGGCACCTTTTATTTTTGTTACGAATCAATTTCCGGTTTTATGCTCAAACAAACTAGTTTTTGGAAGAGTTTATTTCCTCATTTGCTCAGCTCACCTTCAATAGGGATTTGTCGAAGTTTGAAAGATTTATTTTTCTAAATATCAATTTCTAATTTCAAATATGTATTTAAATTTTATTTTGTTCAAAATTTCAAAAAATATATTGAGATCAAGATTGTTTATGTCCATAAAATCTGATTTTTAGAGGAAAAAAACAAATTTCAAGACACACAGAACCGTTTTTCCTAGCACGGCCGATCTTTACCGTGTAATAACTCTCGAGGAGTACCGATTTTCCTCGATTGACTTGTCAAATTGTAAAACACTGCGTTTAACTAGCAATGATAACAATGAAAAGTTTCGAATACCTGTCCGTAACCTGGGAGAACATTGTCACCAGTCCCATCACTGAAAACTGATCAATAAGATAAGCATGATTTATCGTATAATTTTTCTCAAAAGAGTTATACACTACGACATTCTTTAGTAATTGGCAGNTGAGGTGGCTCAACATATAGCGCTTTTAAAAACGGAAACAATAACCAGAGTGAGCATTGTCAGGTTGTTCAATTCAGATTCATGCCCTGAAAACATGATAATAAAATTTAATGCCATCTAAAGGAATCTGTAATGGCACTAGATTAATTGTTACAAACTTGCAGCGTAATTTAATTAAACTGATTAGCTAAACTGATTGATGATGATGAAGCAGGTACATTTTTCATTCCGAGAATACCTCTAATCCCCTCTGATAACAACATGCCGTTTTCTTTTAAGAGAAAACAATTTCCTATTAGGCTGGCCTTCTCCATGATTATAAATAAGTCACAAGGTCAGACTTTTGAGAACATCAGTTTAGTATTGACTAAACAAGTTTTTAGTCATGGACAACTTTATGTTGGCCTGTCAAGAGTTAAGTCATTTGACAGCCTTTCAGTAATTGTTCCAAGATGCCAAATATATAATTGTGTTTTCAAAGAAATTCTAAATGCTTAGTGTTAATTTCTTAAGAGCTTTGCAGAAAAAAAATGTTTTTTGGAAAAAATTTAATTGAAACTTCTATTGGCAGTAGGCAAGGGGAACTGCCAAAATCAAAACTCCCCGATTAGAAATGCAGCATGGCGACCTCCACGTGGTATTTCT